TGCATATTAAATAGGGTGATCCCTCCAGGAATCCATGTGAACAGAACCTTCCCCCTGGACCTCTTTACCGGGGGACCCTGAGACTTCGTTTATGAAGAGTAGTGCTCCTTCCCACCTCCCTTTGTTTAGACTGAAGATCCAACCCAATGCCATCTTCCGCCAGCAAGTTGAGACTGTTGCCATGAGTTAGGCTTAATCCTCCAGACTGGCCCAATTCGTCTGCAGGTGAATTGCTCCCTGTCCCCCATTATGGCGACTGATAAATTCCATAGCAAGGTCATGCACAAGTGCTGCCCACTTACCTTACAGCAGGACCAAAACATACAGTGCGGGTGGGTTCATTGCTGACTGTGCTGCTGGCTCCAAGCACAGTCTGTTTAATCAGGTTAGCCATATGTTGGGAAAATTCCTGACATGTCCTGATTTTCACATGTAAAAATGGCGTCATGGGGGAATTTTGCAAAATGTCTGGGGAAACCTGGATGTATGGCAACGCGAAGGGAAAAGCAGCAGAAATAGCTTCAAAAGTTTCAAAATCACTATTTTGGAGGTGGTTTTTGGGTTTGTTCCCCCAAAAAGCTGGTGGGTTTCTATGCAACAACAGCAGCAAGAATACTCATCGCAAAGTATTGGAAGATACAAGAACTTCCCACGCTGGAGGAATGGCAGATGAAACTTATGGACTATATGGAATTGGCGGAAATGACTGGCAGAATCCGTGACCAGGGAGAAGAGTCGATGGAGGAAGATTGGAAGAAATTCAAAGACTATCTTCAGAAACACTGCAAAATTAAGGAATGTTAGAGTGATGTTGGATTGAAAATAAGTGGTTTCCAGCTGTACAGGTTAAAGCTAAGGATTGATTAAGATTAAAGATTAAGATTAAAGATGTTTAAAGAAATGGAAATTTGACAATAAAAGGGAAAAATTTAAAGGTATATGACATTAAGAACAAGGATTATGTTTAAAAAAGCTGAAGCTATATAGTTTAATATTTCATTAAATTAAAGATTGGGTTTAAAAAAGTGGAAAAGAAACTGCTGGACAAATAATGTAGATTGGAATACAAAAGAGGGGGTATGAGGAAGTCCAGAAAATAAGTAATTCAAAATTGGGAATGTAAAAGAGAGTTTGTTTTAAATTGTTATGTTGTGTGTTTTTATTGTTAAATTTTGTATTGGTTTTTTTTTGTGTGTGTTGTTTTTTCTTTTTTCTTTGTTTAAAACTTTAATAAAAATTATAAAAAAAAAAAAGCTGGTGGGTTTCTAAAAAAATCAGGAATTTAACTTTTTGAAATATGGCAACCCTAGTTTAATTCTGCACACACACACACACATATTTTTATTGATTTTTTTAACATATCATTTCCAACAATCATTTAAGATAAATTATTATCTTATACAATATTTTAGGCTTCCATCAACAACCTCTGAAGATTTCCCATTCTTTATCACTTATTCTGCATTTCTTAATTTCTCTATTACTTTTAATTATCCTTAACTAATGATTCCCTTCATAATCTTCCTTGCAATATTCACATAATCCTCTTTACAGAACTTCTTGCAGTCCTACTAGCATAATCTGTTTGTTACAATTGCTTTTTAGATAGTTCAAATATTTACTCCAGTCTTCTAAGAATCTCTGGTCCTGCAGGTTTCAAATTCTTCCTGTTAATTTGTCTAATTCTGCATAGTCCATTAATTTCATTTGCCACTCTTCTTTTGTCGGTAATTCTTCTTGTTTCCATTTCTGTGCCAGTAATATTCTTGCTTCCAGCAACCCTAGTTTAATTCAGTTGGAGGCGAATCTGAGAGAAGCCAGGCTCTCCTCAGGTCTGCTCCAAGTCCCGCCTTCTTAACTGACCATGATTGGCCCATTTAAATTAACATTGTAAAAAAGCTCCAATAGTCACCTGCGGCCACACTGGACCTCAGCTGCCACTGCTACAAAAGCAGTAAGCAGTCTTTTTCTTTAAAGCTGTTGAAAAGAACGAAAATAAATAAAACAAAAAACTTAAAACAATGAAAATGAAATGAAATAGGACTAGAGGAAATATGTAGCAAATGTAGTTAACATCTAAAATTAAAAATAAATGAAGGAGGACTTTTTATCCAGCCTTTCATGGGTATTGGCGGGTGGTGAGGCGACCAAAATACCAAGCATGTTAAATGCCCATCCTTTTTCCACTGGTCACATTTACTCAGTCAGAATTTTAAAAATTCCACACGCATGTGTGTTCTGAGGAAAAAACCTTTAGGTCAAGTCTTTTTGAAAGAATGCCAAATGTCTTTGTGTCCAGTTATTTATGGTTTCAGATAATTGTACAGAAAATATCAAATTTGCATAGTGTGATTATTGCTGATTATTTATCCAGCAGTCAAAATGTTTCAGTGGTTCCTAGGATGACAGATTGACAAGTACTTAAAACTCATTCATTTTATGAAATTTGCATGTAATTAGGCAATAATGAAGGGGATGTTTGTGGACAGCGGATTATACTACAATATGCTGGAAGGGATTCAAATGCTTGACAAAGTGTTAACACTTATCTTCAGTTTCAACTAAGTCTTGAATGTTCGGTTAAAAAGGGACCGGGGGAAATGGAAATGGATACAAGGGCTGAAAAATGCAAAAATGGAACGAAACACCTTTTCTTACCGGGTTCCCCTTATATATATTCCTAAGAAATTAAATTCTTCATTTAAAAAGAAAGAAAGAAAGAAAGAATCATTCATTGCAGCACATTTGGTCAAAGCATGTAGTTGTGATTTTGGTGAAGGCTCATGAAATATAATCTCCCTTGCTTGTTAAGATACGGTTTTCTGATTTAAGCTGAAGCTCCTCTTGAGATTTATGCAGATAGAATATGTTGCTCAGCTTTTATATAAAAGCCAGTCTGAGCAAAAATAAGAGAACTCGGGATGAAGCCATGCAGATGCCTGTCAATGTAGCATAGACAAAACTGGGTTGGATAGCCAATTGTCTTACCATACAATAGGTATGTTCCTCTGGAATCATGTTGCTATGTGAGAAAAGAGTTCCTTCAATCATTCGTTCATTTTATATGCTTTTCCACACACAAAAATCATGCTCAAAATACCTTGCAAACTTTCATGTGCCTGTTTCTTGTTTTGGGCTAACGGGTCACACTACAAATTTTAAGCAAGCTCCCCTACCCCCCCAAAAATAATAATCATGGTAACTGTAGTTTGCCCTCACAGAGCTGCAGTCCCCAGCACCCTTAACAAACGACAGTTCTCAGGATTCTTTGGATGGTGGGGAGGGGAAATACGCTTTAAATATATTGTGTGTTTACAGGTTGGATGAACCTGTCTAAAAGTGCAGTCCGAAATGGGGACTACTGCCTTCAGTTTCTTGGCTGTAATGCTAGCGCTTCTGCCCCAGTTTTGACTCTGCATTATCTGCTGCATTGTGGAACTGCAGTTTTGTGATTGATATGCTATCTTGTCGTGCTAAGTTAATTCACACCGGGGCGCATGGTTTGACCAGTGGTGGAGCTACCTGCTCCGGCACCGGGAGTGGAGTACATCCGGGGGTGTGGCTGCCGGACATTGCAGGGGGCGTGGCACGCATCCCAGGGGGCGTGGTGCATTGCCAGTGGGGGCGTGGTGCCACGATGTCACCCCCCCCCCAAGATGGTGTTGGAGCCTCCACTAGGACCGAGCTGATAAAGCTCATCCTCTGGCTGAGGCCTTCGTTCTCTCCTCCGACGATAATTACCAATCTGAGCCTTTGATGACGCTCCAGGCACGTTGACTCATTACGCATAGTATCCAGCAGCAGGGAAGGATGAGAAACACAGGCTACATTGCTAAAAGTTTTATTCCTAATTACGCAGACAGAAAACACATCCTCTCTCTGTGAAAGGCAGAGAGGAACTGGAAAAACAAAGGAACAGGAAACAATAACATCACATCCGTCTCCCGTCTTCCGTGAGACTTCCAACAGCCTGGAATGTCTGGTATGCAAAACAGAGTCTTGTGACTCCAAGCACTGCACAGTGGCAACACAGAAACCAACAGATGGCACCCGGGGTGGGCCACTCCCCCGCCCCCACCTTCGTCCGCCAGTGGGTTTGACACAACAGCAGACATTATCAGGCATGTCACCACCACCCATCCTTTAAGCACATATGCCAGGGGAGGAACTAGGTTTTATTTTACGAGGGTCAGAGACCCAGTTTGGCACCCTCCCCCATGTGCATTTGCGTACACACACAGGCTGAGATCCACAGTGGCAGTGGAGGCTTTACCCAGGGCAAAAAATCTGGCTAGCAACCCCATAGCTATGGCATCCCATGTGCGTTTCTGTTTTCCTAGGATTCCCCTCATGTGTCAGGAACCAGACTGAAGGGTATTGCTCTGAGGAAGAATGGTGAGAGCCCCCCTATCCCTCTGCTCAGGGGCCTGATCCTGAAGCTCCTCTGGAGCAGGAGGATAGTATCAACCTAGAGCAATGGTTCGAGGAAGGGCACAGTTTGGAAACTGACAGTTGGGCTGAACTGGGAGAAGAGCAACCAAGGGGAGAGGAACAGGAAGAGAGAGTATGCAGCCCATGGACCCTAGGGCTAGGATAGGGTAGCCTCTCAGAAAGCTCAGTGGTTGAGGGATCACGTGGTGAGGAGACGGGAAGATGGAAGTAACTAGAAGGAAGTGGGAGGAACTCAATGGGAGCACCTGCACGATGAGAATGGATGCTGAATGTTTGTGCTGTGTTCAATAAACCTCTCTGTTACTGCAAAAGACTGCTTTGTCTTCGTGCTGTTATCTACAGAGAGGGGGGAGGTAAGCCTTGCCTGGCAGCCTGACACCATGAAAACAGCAGGAAAGAACTGTATGCCAGTATAGTACCCTAAATTTCATACCGCAATTTCTTGGTTTAATAGGGTTGCCAACAGATTTTATTTTTTAAAAAAAATTGGAAGCAATTAACACAGAAAGGAGCCCTTAACTTCCACTAGATTTCCAGAAGTGGCTTTTTGTCTTTGTGTGTGTGTGTGTGTGTGTGTCAAACTTCATACACACACACACACACACACACACACATCATTTTCAACAATTGTAAAACATACTTTTATATCTTATACAATTTTTTTACTTCCATCAATCGCATCTGAAAATTTCCAAATCTTTTCCACTTAATTTACATTTCTTACTTTCACTATTACTTTTAATTATCCTGTCTCTCTTCTTTATTTTCTTTGCAATATTTCATATATTCCTCCTTATAAAACTTCTTGTAGTCCTACTAGCATAATTTGTTGATTACGGTTGCTCTTCAAATAGTTCGCATATTTATTCCAATCTTCTGTGAATCTCTGGTCCCACAGGTTTCGAATCCTTCCTGTCATCTTATCTAATTCTGCGTAGTCCGATTTCCAGAAGTGGCTTTTATATCATGCAGAAAGATGACATAAAACACACAAATGACCAGATAAGAAAATGTTGGGGGAAAGGAATAAAGTGCTGTCTGAATGCAGCCACATTCAAGCGGCTTGCAGTTACCTTCACCAGCCCCTGATGAAAAGGGATGAACCACGTGCTGGTTTTCTCTTGCCTGTATCGAAACCACGAACGCCAGTCCCCCTCTCTGACCTTTTAGCATGATCCCTACGACTCTTTATTCCAGGAAGCATTGTTCACTTCCAAAAGCACACAGATCATAAACAGGTCATCATAAACTTTGCACACCAATTGTAGTCCATTGAGAAAGCTTTCTTTTCACATTTTGAATAGCATGTTTTAGCATAAAAGATGTTATACTGACTAGGCGGGAGGGAAAGGGAAAACAATCTTTGGTTCCCTGATGGGCATTTCTCAATGAATTATATTCATAGTATTCTCAATAGCCTTATGTAATCTGAATTAATTACTAAATCTATTCCCTTCGTTCCCTAATTAACTCATCCTACGGAAAGTAATTCTCCTCTTTAAAATCGGCTCATTTAGATTTCGGCATATTCTTTAGATATGGGGTCTTGAGATGTATCAGGCAGAACGTGAGGCGCTGTCTCTACAGAAGACACCTGAATCCTCCAGTCTTTCTTTAACTTCAGACACTCACTTAAACCACCAGCTCTTTGTTTAACAGGTTTTTCTAGGTTGTACCAGCACAATTAAGTTGACAGCTAAAAGACAAGTGCTCCCCTTCTAATGCTGCGATCCAAGGAGAACTATAGTCAAGATGAGAAAGTTTTTGCAGGAAAATTAAAACTGGAATACACCTCTGCGCTGCAGTCTGTGTGCCAGTACTACATTATATTCTTATTAGTGGCAATGTAACTTCAGAATAATGAGGTGTGTATCTCTTGGAATGGCCAAGGTGCGCTTGGTGGCAATATTTTCTTCTCTCCACATCCCATGCTTAAATGCTTATCTCAGCATTGAGATGCCACACAGAACATGCGATGGCATCTATCAACAACTGAAACAGTTGCTTACTGGCACATATGATCACTAGCTTTGCCAACGGCCCCTCCCTACACCCTCCCACCCTGTCAGAGCTGCTGTGCCTTTGACATCTTCATGAGAAGAAGATATTCAGCCATTTAGGCATTTCCCAGCATGAAGTGAACAGCTAAACCTGCCGACTTTCTGTTTCGCTGTGCAACTGTGAAAAAGCACAGGCACTTTGCCAGGACCAAAAGTTGGCAACCCAAGAGAACTGCCCGCGCAGCCAGTGCTTTCTTTTCAGTTTTCACAGCTGTAAGTACCACAGCTGAGGAGGCAAGCTGCGGTAGGATTTTTAAATGGTTTGCTAGGCTTCCTAACAAGGAAAGCCTCACACACTGTTTTGTACTGAGTTGAATAGGATCCAAAATGCAGCAGTCTGATTGGTCCTAGAACAATAGGATTCAGAATGCAGCAGTCTGATTGGTCCTAGAACAATAGGACCCAGAATGCAGAAGTCTGGTTGGTCCACAGGAGCCACCCAATCCAGCTCCAGGTGGGAGTGAATCCACAACCTGATTGGTCTACAGGAGAATCCCGGAATTAGCCAATCACGTGGGGCCCATTGTGTAAATAATGTATATAAAGCAGACATTATGGGGGAACTTCCATTCCTCCTCACCACTATGAGCTGAATAAAGAGCATGAAATCCACTCTCGACTCCAAGTATATTTCACACACAATCCTGGCTCTTCCAGGCACGCTTCCCTTACATCAGGGTTAAGAACTTGAGAACATAAGGGGAGTCTGATAGATCAGGCCAGTCGTCCAGCATCATGTTCTCACAACAGCCGACCAGATGCCTATGGAAAACCTGAAACCAGGATTTGGGCACAAGAGCCCAGCTGTGGAGGCAGAACATAGACATCATGGCTAGTAGCCATCAATAGCCCTTTCTTCCATGAATTTGTCTAAAGCCATCTAGGTTGGGGAGTCAGCACTGCTTCTTGTGGCAATGAGTTCCATAGTTTAACTGCATGAAGAAGTAGTGGATGGGGGCCCGCAGATGTTGATGATGTTTGACACACCCAGAAGTTGTAAAACAGAAGACAAAAGGCAGTGGAATAGAGAAAGCACAGGAAATGTCAGATTTAATGAATGTGACGACGAGAATGGTGGGTTTCTGGAAGAGCAGAAAATAGGAAGGAAAGCAGATGAAGAAGAGGAAGGTGATTGTAATTCTTATGTGTCATCTTGAAGGAAACGTAGTATTCAGGGATGGGAGCGTTGTGCCATTTTGACACAATTTCTGTCTAAAAGACCTGAGTAGCTTTCATGAATCTGTCTTGGGGTTTGTTTGTTTTTTTGTTAATACGTGGTGATTATTCATCTCACCGCCATCAAACTTAATGATGGAGAATGCTATGCTATTCAGTGCTCCATTCATTTATTTTCTGTTACTGTATTTCCTACTTTAATTTGCTTCTAAAATGCAAAGAGGTTTAGCATATTGTGTTAGTCACTCATTTCTGGGCTATTCAGTTACAGCTGGTGTTGTTTACTATTGCAGCAAATGTCTCCTGTACAAACCTGATTGAAATGAATGAGAGCTTGCGGCAGTGGGTAGGCGCAGTTTAGCAGGATAATGGATTCTGACCCATATTGGTAAAGATTTTATGCTTGTGAATGAGCCTACCCCTATTGTGCATTTCCTGTGTGGGGTGGGTCTCATGTGTTTGATTCCCTTTACAATTAAGTTCTAGAGATCTGGACCAGCCAGCGCTTTTGCTTTCACCCAAGAGAGCCTTACAACTTTCCTCTGTTGGCTGTCATTCAACAACTAGTTTAGCCTTCCACAATGTGACACCTTCCAGATGTTTAGGACCACAGTTCCCAACAGGGCCAGCCGGCATAGACAATGATCAGTGGTGTTGTAGCCCAAAACATCTGGATGGCACAAGGTTGGGGGGGAGGCTGAACTGGTGCATGGGAACATTTTTTTGGTCACTGAGTAGTGTGTGTGTGTGTTATTTTTAGTTGTTGGCTACACACTCCAAACTGCTAACATGGGTTGAGATAGAAACTGAACTAAGAAAAGCTATTAAAAAATAATATCTATTTAGGAGGTGTTTATGCACCATCAGAAGTAATGATGACGTCTACGAGACATCTCCATGAGATGCACATTATATTTTAGACCATGGGTAGGCAAACTAAGGCCCAGGGGCCGGATCTGGCCCAATTGCCTTCTAAATCTGGCCCGTGGATGGTCCAGGAATCAGCGTGTTTTTACATGAGTAGAATGTGTCCATTTATTTAAAATGCATCTCTGGGTGATTTGTGGGGCCTGCCTGGTGTTTTTACATGAGTAGATTGTGTGCTTTTTTAAAAAATACATCTCTGGGTTATTTGTGGGGCATAGGAATTCGTCCCCCCCCCAATATAGTCCGGCCCCCCACAAGGTCTGAGGGACAGTGGACCGGACCCCGGCTGTAAAAGTTTGCTGACCCCTGTTTTAGACCCACAAATCTGGATGCATATCCAAGCATTTTTCTTTATATATTTTCTTCCAACTGTGAAGCATCTATGTCTGTTCAGCAGAGGAATGGGGGAGTGCAAAACAAACAACATGCCATGCTAGGGATATGGTGCCCCAACACATGGACAGGCTAACATTCATAGCCTTTCCCCCCAGTGCTTCATGTCTGATGGGATTCAAAGCTGGTGCATGTTATATTTGGATATATTTCAGGTCTAAAAGCATTTACAAGGGCTTTGGGTAATTAAAACCATTTAAAAACAATTGTTTTGCCATTGTCTATTTTTTGTTGCTCCAAGACTGTGGTTCTCATAATTCAAATTTTAAATGGACATATACCACAAAGGGTTAAGCAGTATGTTCAACGGTATGGGACCTGAGGTTAATACGGTGTAAAAATCTAAAATATTTGGCCTAGTGCTCGACAGCAGCTTATTTCTTTTAAAAAAAGAATTAAGCAAGCAAAGAGGAGGGATGTATAAATGGAGGTATTGAAGTCGGAGGAAATATCCCAGCAGTATGCATGAAGTTAGTGAAGCAACATTTGTTAACACATGTGCTATTCTGGAGAGCCCGTACAAAAGGAATATTAAAGAAATGGAGTGAATAAGACAGGAACTAAAACCGACCTGCACATTACAGGCTCCACATGAAGGCCACTGCAAATCATTCCACATGGCGGGGATAAGATTGTCAGCTCTTGAAATATGAGATTCTGGCACATCTGGACAGAGCCCAAGGGTGGGGCCTGGGGCAGGTCCCACAAAAATCTTCTGTTCCTAGGTGTACAATTTGCGCTTGAGTTTATATAAGTTCCTCGCTACCGAGCAATATCAAGTAACGCCCTGCACACATGGCGACAGGCCCTAAGAGATTGCAGCACAAGCCGGCCTTCAGCCACACTACTGTCAGCAAAACAGGAAGCTATCTATGTACAGAGGAGAGGTGGAAGATAGGGCAAAATATAGGTGTCAGGGAAAGAGCACCCAAGATCATAAAAACAAATAAATGAGAAATCATTTACTCATAGGAGACATTGAGGACAAAGCCAGGCTATGTACATTAAAAGCACATTCCCACACGCAGAATCTCAGGAACTGCAGTTTAGCCCTACAGTTCAAACTACAG